GAAATATGAATGAAGCAAAGAAAGCCTCTTTAACAGGTGCTGATAAAACTGGAGAGCTATGTGCAAAAAAACAGGCGCAGACCTCTACCTAACACCATGCACAAAAGTCAGATCAAAATGGATTAAACACCTCAACATCAGACCAGAATACCTAAGGTACATTGAAGAAAAGGTCAACAAAGCCCTCCATAATATTGAAGCTAAAGATATTTTCAAAGATGAAACACCACTGACCAAGCAAGTGGAAGCAAAGATAAATGGGACTATCTTAAACTAAGAAACTTCTGCACCTGAAAGGAAACAGTGATCAGGATACAAAGACAGACTAGAAAATGGGAAAGGATATTCACCCAATACCCTTCTGATAAGGGGTTAATATCAAAGATATGTAAGGCACTGGTTGAACTCTACAAGAAGAAAACATCAGTCCCATAGGAAAATGGGGCAATGAAATGAACAGAAACTTTCTCAAATAAATTTGAATGACCAAAAGGCACATGAAAAATGCTCTTCATCACTAATCATCAGGAAGATGGAGATCAAAACAATTAAATATCATTTCACACCACAGAGATTGGCAGACATCCAAAAGAACAAAAGCAACCGGTGTTGTCATGGATGTGGGGAGAAAGGGACTCTCCTTCACTGTTGGTGGGAATGCTGACTGGCTGACCCTTTTTGGAAAACAGTATGGAAGTTTCTCAAGAAATTAGAAGTTGAGCTCTCATTTGATCCAGCAATACCACTTCTGAGAATATACCCTGGGAGCCCAAAAATACACTGCAGAAACACCATCTGCACTCCTGTGTTCATTATAGCACTATTCACCATAGCCAGAATCTGGAAACAACCTGAGTTCCAGAGAACAGATGAATGGACAAAGAAATTATGGCACATCTACACAATGCAATATTATGGAATTGTTAGGAAAAATGAAGTCATGGAATTTAGCTAAAAATGTATGGACATGGAGAGTATCATGCTGAGAGAAATTAGTCAGAAGAGGGAGAGATATAGGATGACTGCATTCATTTGTGGTGATATATAAATAGTCTTCTACTAGATATACAGTAAAAGACTAGTATCCATGGTCAGGGAAAACAGGGGTTAGGAAGATTGGTTGATGGTTGAAACTAACCACAAGTATGTGGGGGGTTGAGAGTAGGTAAGATAGAGAAGAGACCAGTATGTCAATAATAATAGCTAGGAATGATCATGCTGGATAAGAGCTGAGGGTTAAAAGTGGGTAAAGGGATTTTCTTAATAACCTTTCAGTACCAATATTGCAAACCACAATGCTTGAAATGAAAGGGAGAGAGAGCGAGATGGAGAGAGCGAGTGAGAGAGAGAGAGGAAAAGCACCTGCCATAGAGGCAGACTGGGTGTGGAGTGGAGGATGAAGGGAGCAAATCTGGGGTCACTGGTGTTGGGAAATGTACACTGGTGGAGGGATGCGTGTTGGAATAAGGTATGACTGATAATCATGAACAGCTTTATAAGGGTCTATCTCACAGTGATTCAATGCGATAGCACAGCTGTAGGGCGTGTTTGCCTTGCGCACAGCCAACATGGTCGACCCGAGTTCATTCCTCCACCCCTCTCAGAGAGCCCGGCAAGCTACTGAGAGTATCTTGCCCGCACGGCAGAGCCTGGCAAGCTACCCGTGATGTATTCGATATGCCAGACACAGTAACAACAAAGTCTCCAATGGAGACGTTACTGGGCCCGCTCGAGCAAATCGATGAACAACGGGAGGGCCTTTACTTTTTACTTTACTTTTAAAAAAGAAATAAATACACATAATTAAAATCAATCAGAAGATCCAGTATACGTTATATTGGAGTCAAAAACAAAAGAGTGATTGGAGAGAGGCTACATTAAAAGAACTAATGTCAGAGAAGTTTCCAAATAGGATCACAACACAGATACAAGAAAATCAACAGATTCCCTGAAGTATATGTATAAAGGCATATAAAAATATCACTATTAAAAATAAAATATCTTAGAAATAACAATGGAAAGAAAAAGAATTCAGAGACAAGTGCTGTCTTCAGTGGAAACTAAGGCTAAAGAATTTCCAAAGCAAATGCAAGAAAAAAAAGGACAAAGGTCGGTTTTTCAAAATAAAAATGATCTGTCAAACTTGGACTTCTATTCCTAATAAATATATCATTTTAACTCAAAAAGGAACCTATTTCCCAAAATAGTTTTGGTGCTGCTTTGGAAATAAAAGTATTTTAGCTTGTAATACTATCTAATGTACTCTGAGGATATTTTCATAGAGACTAATGCATATGATATAATAATTCCACATGATCTCATTGCTAAACATTCCTTAGAAAAAATCTAAGGTGTTAATAGACTACTTACTAAGGACTTATTCCAGGTAAGATATTTTTATCTTTGTTATGTTAGGGATGGTTTTGATTTGGGGATCTCTATAAGCATCATTGATTCAAAGCATTTTACTTCTGAGTTATCTCTAAAATACAAACTTGCTGGTGGCAGAAACTTCATCTTACCCATTATTAAATTCTTACCAGTTCACACAATCCTACCTTGGTGAAATTCAAAAGTAATCTATGGCTCTCACCTATGCAAATTTGTTAAGGACTGTTGTGATCTTGGTTTTGTTGTGATTGTTGTCTGTTATTAATTCATTACTCAGGAAACTCATTTTTGACTGGATTCAGACTTAGAGGTAGAAGCTCTCAAAGAAGACCACCTCCATCTCTTGGCATTTCTCTTTTGTCTCTTTCATTCTCTTCACCAAGTTTATTGCACTCTGTATCCTCTTTCTTTTTCTTCTTAATAGCTATTTCTTCAGTGCAAGACACAGGTGTTTGTGTCGCAAAACCCGTGGAGTAACAAGATGCTGAATATTGGGCCCTTTGTTGCTAGGTTTCTTACCTTCTTTATGTAGGGGCTTCCTCACAACATTTTCTTTAGAGATATTGATAATCTTGCGGGTCCTGCTAGCTCTTTTGGGCCCTAGATAGGGAGGCATACTGGTATCAGTGAGTCCAGAAATACCATTCTCCCCTTTCTTCACAATGTCCAAATGGAGAACCTCAAATTGGCATCCATGCACATATTTGTGCTTTCTTCCATTGGTCCTCCACGGTCTATAACAGGAATGCCCCTTACTGAGCAATGGTGGAATGACCCCCTGATTCATGGGGAAACCTAGTTTATCTTCCCGCCTCAGATACGGACCACGTAACCCTTCCATTCATTCAGAGCATCAACAGCAACTTTGGTTGCCAGCTGCTTCTCACAAAAGATACAGAATTGATGTTCATCATCCACTTCAATGAGCTTCTGGTAGCTGGTGGCTGGTAAGAGAAGTTCAGATTCATATTCAGACAGCCCACGGTGTGATTTTGTTAACATTTTGTTTGGTTAGAAATGGGCTCTCCACTGTTGGTTACTGATTCACAAAGCCACGAAGTCAACAAGGGTTGGTGGAATAGGGAAGTCTAGTAACCATCGCTCCTGGAGAGGATACATAGTCCTTTTGTAGGTCAAGGCTGGATGCAGGTGAAATGGGAGTAGCAGGATTAGGGGCATATGTCTTTAATCAGGTACATGAGTGCAGCATTAATGAAGTCCCCAGACTGATTGATTGGTTGAATAAAACATTTTTTTTTTAATTTGTAAGCTTCACAGGATTAAGAACTGACAGGCAGGAGAAACTATCTGCAGTGGAAGAAACACTGGGTAAGTTCACTCTATCACTATCATCCTGTTGTTCATCGATTTCCCCGAGCAGGTACCAGTAACGTCTCCTTTGTCCTAGCCCTGAGATTTTAGAAAGTACCACATTCGAGGCTCTTTCAGGGTCAGGAGAATAAGACCCATCATTGTTACTGGTTTTTGGCATATTGAATACGCCACAGGGAGTTTGCCAGACTCTGCCGTGTGGGCAGGATACTTTCGATAGTTTGCCAGGTTCTCCAGAGTAAGAACTATATAATAAGATGTCGCGTGGCCACAAATGAGGCTGTGTGCTTCTGGGAGCTGGGTTTTATAGTCTCTGGGTCTTGGCCATTGATGGGATTACACGATGCTAGGGGCAGTTGGTGGGTGTATCGCCTACCTACTAAAAGATGGGGAATCTGGATGGAGGAGGCCCAGTCCCGATCCAAGCAGGCTTGGAGATCTACACCTTGGGTTCCGCACACCTGGGTTCTTCTGCTGGTTCCTTCATGCGTGAGGCTTGTCCGAACGTGTGGAGAGTGGTCTCAGCATGGCTGTGGCAGGTTCTGGAGGCCTTTGGCTGCCGGGGCTCTTCTCGGGGCAGGGAGGGAAACTCAACTCACCCTTCTCCAAGGGGCCCTGGTGAGGACAGCCAGGCATGGGGGCAGGAGACTCTCAGGTAAGTTATATATTGAAATTATCCGGGGAAGACCTTGGTGCGAAGGAGTAATATCACTTGAAGCCTCCTGAAGGTGACTGGGTCACATAAAACAGAAACTGAGGAAAGAACATTATGAAACTTTGCTAAGTTCTCAATGATTCACCCTGTGATGATTTAACAATCACTTATATCTCAGATATTCTAGGGACAATGGAATTTTTTTCTGAAGGCATGGTAAAGCATTTTTAAACCAAGGTAATAGTTATGAAGTTTATGGTTTATTAAATCTCTAGAATAAAATGGTCAGGTTAAAAAAAATTTTTTTCATGCAAGAATAATGGTGAAGGGCATTCAGACAGGAGTGTGGTAACTGTACATGGATATTCAGATATTTCAAGACATAATTACATTGCTATGGCTGCAATTACTGCTGACTATCTTTACTGTCTTTATACTTTTCTTATCCATTATTTTTTAAAAATTTTTATTAGTGAAACACCATGAGGTACAGTTGTAGACTTACAAATTTTTGTGCTTGGATTTCAGTTATACAATGATCGAGTACCCATCCCTCCACCAGTGCCCATTCTCTACTACCAATGATCCCATTATCCCTCCCACCCACCCCCTTCCCCATCCCAAAAATATGGAATGCTTCATGAATTTGTGTGTTATCCTTGTGCAGAAGCCATGCTAATCTTCTCTGTATCATTCCAATTTTAGTATATGTGCTGCTGAAGCGAGCACATGCTTTACCAAATCTCTTTCCCCATCACTGGCTCTAGATAGATCACAAAAGCTAGATAAAAACAAATGGCTGGATGGTGAAAGGGGATGAGACACAGAATGATAACATAGCAGGTAGGGCTTTTGCCTTGCATGTGGCCAACCCAGATTTGACTGGTATTCCATATGGTCCCCCAAGCATGAGTAGTTCCTGAGTACAGAGAACCAGGAGTAACCTCTGAACATTGCTGGTGTGACCCAAAAAGACTATATATCTCTCTATATATAGATACGGATAAATATGTATATGTGTATGTATATGTATATGTATATGTATATGTATATGTATATATGGGGGAAGAAAGGGTGTTGGGACATTGTGTGATGAAACCCAATCATGAACAACTTTGTAACTGTGAATCTCATGGTGATTGAATAAAAATATTAAATTAATATTTTTAAAGAACAAATCAGAGACCTCAGGAAGTGTGGAAATTTGTTGAATTATTTGTAATCTTCATAATCTGTAAGCTTTGATAATTTTCTGAAGGTTTAACTAGCCTGTTTTGTGCTGAAAATATATACGCAGCAGTAGTGTCCTACAAAGGTCAGACTCCACCCCCTCAGCCAATAAGAAATCCAAAGTTAGTCGATTTATAACTCATCACCACTCGAGCTAGTAAACATGTCAATGCACAGAATAGTGTCTGCATGTGATTACTTTGGTTGTTTGATCTTTTGAGAGGAGTATTTATTATTTAACCTCATGGGCCAGGATATTAGAATCAGCTCCTATGCCAGCCAGTCTAATGATTGAAAGCAACTTGTACCTGGATAAGAATAATAATTAACTCTATGATAGGGAAATGAAATGTTTTCTGCAGGGATGTTTTGGGAGTTGTAAAGTTCGCTGGATGATTAAATGAAACCGCGTTGCAATAATACAGGTCATCTCTGAATATAGCTCCTGATTGTTACAGGATCAAGTGGGCCTGCTTCTGGGCCCTTGAGTCAATTCCATAATAGAGTATAAATTAAATATCATTTGCCTCCATGAAGCAATGAAATAAATAATGAGACTCAACCTTGCTGCTTGAGTATAGTTGGTAGCCTATAGAAAACTCCCAACCCAAGGTACTAATTATTTTCATACTGACCTATCATGCACCCCATTTAGGATCTTAACAGACTACGATAGTGGTCTTGTAAGCAAGCACTCTATTATGACTAATGATGCTTATAATATAGTCTTTGACTTGTCATAAAGGTAAAATAAAATTCTATTCTTCTTGCAAGGGGCGAAGAATTTATAGTGGCAAGTGTTTTCATTGAGGAGAGGTTTAGGCTACAATTGGCTGATGCTACAGAAAAATATAATTTCCATAGGATCCTCCAAATGGAGTGAGTTTGGGTCATTTTTTTACAATGTAGTCTTAGGTTAAAATGTACAGGAGTCATTTCTCTCCTGGTTTAGAGAATCTGGATGAATCCCAATGTTCACCAAGGTTGGGTATACCTTTCCTCACTCTTTGCTGTTCTATTCTGTGGTAGCATTGTCTCTGTGCTCATTGTTTAAGAGAAAGCTTTATGGGGGCTAAATTCATATGCTTGCAGAGTCTAAGCATATTGGTGAGCTCCATATAATGTCATTTATGGATGACAGTTTTGTAATCTCAATATTTATCCATTAAAATTGTAGTTGGATGAGACTGGAAAAAATTTAAAAAGGCTCAAAGGGGTTTAATCCCTAGCACCATGTATGGTTCTCCAAATCCTGCTAGGAGTAATCCCTGAGCATGGACCGTGGAGGAAGCCCTGAGCCCTGCTAGGTGTGGCCCTCACGAAAATAAAATAAGATAAAAGAAAACTGTAGTAGGAGCACCAACTAGCTTTCAAACCAGACAGCAACATGGGTCTGGTCGTTTACTTGGGGAGTGTCAATCTATCCAGGATAAAATCTGAGATGTGGTGGAAAAAAGTAGTACTGTAGCACTGTCCTCCCATTGTTCATTGATTTGTTCGAGCGGGCCCAGTAATGTCTCCATTGTGAGACTTGTGGTTACTGTGTTTGGCATATCGAATACGTCACAGGTAGCTTGCCAGGCTTTGCTGTGCAGGCGAGATACTCTCGGTAGCTTGCCGGGCTCTCCGAGAGGGGTGGAGGAATCGAACCTGGCTCAACCGGGCCAGAGGCTTGCAAGGCAAATGCCCTACCACTGTGCTATAGCTCCTTGTACCACTCCCTGTAAAGGGAGGTGAGCTCTGTGTCTAAATCTAAAACACATGTTCTGGGGACCAGAATCCCTCTCCAGGGTTTGCCATCACCACATAAGCAACTATTTAGAAATGGACAATCTTTGCAGTAACCGTTCTATAATGTTACGTCCAGAGTCCAAGATGTCTGTGGAGACTTGTTGATGTCAAAACATTGTGATACATCAGGGATGAAGCAAAAGTACACTGGATGAGGTGTTTGACTTGTATGCATCCTATTTGGGCTTCCTAATATCCCATATTTCCTGCTGAGCCCACTATAAATGATTCCTAAGAGAGTCAGGAGTAAGCCCAGAGTACCACTGGATGTGGCCCCAAAATGAACAAACAAACAAAAAAAATCATGATATTCACATTCTCACATCTCATGCATGAGATTTGTTTCCTTTGCAAGTCTGCCTTCTCTGGTCATCCATTCAAGATATGAATCACATCTGAGTTTGTTTTTCTTTCTTAGTTATTACCTTGAGTGGAACTTATAATAATGGTACCAGTTGAATCCCCTCTCCTGTAGAATCTCAAAGTGAGACTTGGGTATGGGCAGAGTACTTACTCTTTAACTTATGTCATTTTAATGTAGTGATATCATGATCAGTCTTCAGCTATGAGGGAGATAAAAAACATGTCATTTAGTTAAGAACGAAATCCTTAAATATGCTTTCTCATCTCAGGAATTAGGTTCACAGCCACTCTATAGTAGCAAAAGACATTTCTGTTAAGAGTCTGGAATTTTCTGCACATGCATTATTATTGACTGATTTTTAAAAATCACTGTATTTCTTTCAGAAGGCATGCTACCCTCTGTCCTGTGTTTAATGACTTTTGTTTCGTTATAATAGCCATTTTTGAATGTACTCTCATTCTTTCCAAGTCTATCCCCTTCAAAATATATAATTACCTCCCCACGCCAATAATTCTTACTCCTAGTATAAAAAGAGCAGAAATGCAGTAGCAGGAAGGAAATGTCATGGTGAGTTACAGGTTTTATTTTAACCCTAAGAGCAAGCCTGAAAATTATTCTCCAAATGGATAAATTGAGTCCCAAAATAGTAACACACTTGTGCTGACAGATGGAGGTGCGGATAGAGGAATGTGTGTGACAATTCCTGCCTGAAGCACTGCCATCTGTCACCAGGTCTCAGCAGGGTCTGTATGTTCGAAACTACCCACCTTGCTCTGCCAATGGTATTTGCTTTCCCCATTCATTCGGCGCTGATGTGGACTCAATTGCTCACAAGGATCTCTGAAGCAGTAACAATTAAAAATAGGACCCTGGAGGTTTACCTCTCTTGAATTAACACATTGTCATCTAAAAATAGCATCTCTTATGGTTCCCACCAAGAGAGTATATCCGAGGGGAGGGGGTCATGTGGAATCAAAGACTGAATGAAATGGAAGGGGAAGGAGGACTCAAGAAGAGAGAAAAATTCTTCCTTCCCAGAGTCAAAAACGCTTTGCTTTCTTTGCCTAAAAAATCATGGTGCCTGCCTTTAAAAATAGATATTTATAATTAATACAGGCATCAAAGGTGAAACTTCTAGGTGACCATTCAGATTTGAAGATAGCACAGTAAACTCAATTCAGAAGACGCAACAGATTCTCTTGGCTAAATCTAGACAGTATTTTTCTAATCATCGCTGGGAAAGGTGTGAACACATTTCTGAACTCTTTCTGTTCCCATTTCCACACGTGAGAGGAGAATTAATATGCAGATCTACCCCTGGGAAACATGGCAATTAAATCAATGAATACACATGAAGACCTGAGAGCAGTGTCTGACACTTGATCTGCCTTCCAAACCTGGGGTGGGACTCTCACCCTCAGGAAGATGCTAGTTCAGACCCCACCACCTCCATGGGACCTTGACAAGAGTGCGGGGGCGGGGGTTTCTCGTGGTCATCACCAAATGAAAGACCCCTATTATCCCAACAGACTGTCTTTATCCAGGCAAGCACAGTGCAAAGATGGTCAGCACATGAGCAGAACCCAGACCTCTTGCTTTCCTGATAAAAGAAATGTGCACTGGTAGAGGGATGGGTATTTGATCATTGTATAATTGAAACCCAAGCACAAAAATTTGTAAGTATACAACTGTACCTCATGATGTCTCACTAATAAAAATTAAAAACAAAACAAAACAAACAAACAAAAAAGTAATTGGTGATATTCAGGTTTTAAAAGAACTATGTCATTTTCCTGCTCTGAGCTTCATCCCCAGTATCAAAACTCTTCATTCCATGCTTGCAAGTAATACTGTTCTTTCTCTAGGAAGTCACTCTGTTTATTTTGTATTGTTTGTGGAAATTCCCAGCATTTTTTTAGGCTTACTCCTGGCTCTACACTAAAGGATAACACCTCATGTCGTCGAGGGACCCCATGCATGCTGGCTGCGTACAATGTAAGCACCTTACCAGCTGTACTCTCTCTCCAGCACCCAAATTTCAAATTTTTGTATGGGAAAACTATGTGAAAGATTCACTTCTATTCCAGATTTATGACTTAAAGTCCTATGATAAGTCAAGTTAAATATAACTGGAATAAAATGGTTTGAGTTTCTCACCTGAGCAGCATCAGACTTAATGAAGAGGGGAGATGAAAAGGACTCAGGCAGTTTGCAATTCTACCACAAAGTGTAGATGTTCCTTTTTGCTATCGTAGGGAAGGCAGTATTTCCTGGTATTTCCTGGCTACAGGACAGGCTACAGCGAAGGCAGTATTTCCTGGCCCTCTCGCAAAGCCCAGCAAGC